TACATGAGTGCTGCTTTAATATACAGAGGACGCTGATTACAGAAAGACTGCTGTTATATGTAGAATGCTTTTACTGATCATACAGAGTGTTTTGTTATGTTGCATCCACAAACTCAACAGTTTTTTCTTTTAGACAGACGCAAAGTCGTGTATAACTATAAAGCGATAGGAAGATGATGATTTATAAGGTAGAAAAAGGGCTGTGTTAAGCAGATCATTAAACTATTTATCAAGATTTGAAAACATAGTGGAGTACTGTTAACTACATTTGAAAAGTAAAAGGAGTATTTCACTCAGTAGAAAATATCTATACGATACATTTAGAGATCATGCAGAGAATCTGGTTTCTTACCTGAACAATAAAACAACATCAAGTGTAGGAAAACTAAAGCTGTGAAGCATGGGGGTGGAATTATAATGCAATGCGAGGGATTTGCTTCAACTCTTATAGGCATGTTGCTCATAGGGAAACAGATGAAGCAAAAATTTGTAAGCTTCCAAACATCCAAACATGTTTTTTTTTTGTTTTTTTTTACAAAATTATCCCCTTAGGGAGGGTGAATTCAAATGCATCACACTTTTCAAGTGTTATTGCATGAAAAAAATAGTGTTTTCCTTACACTTTCTGGTAAAATGTGACTCTTGTTGCTCTATCTCATACAATTCTAGTAGAATAAATTAAAGACGGTGATAATAAGGTTACAAAATGTGGAAAAGTCTGAGGTATTAATGAAATTCACTGTATCTCTTTTATCAGACATTCTTGTCTATAGTAACACTGATTATCATAGGTCAGTCTGAACAACATTACATGATGATAAATCATCATGTGTCCTTCTCATTCAATCATAAAAAAAGAGACTAAAAGGGTGACCGAACCATGTTATCTGCTTTAACAAATACTTCCACAGACAGAGGTCAGTAGGAGGTCAAAATAGCAATAAAGTAAAAAAAAACTGCTTAATTGTTCCCACTTTTAAACCTTTTATTTTTCTGTTTTTGACTCTTTTTAACATTTCTGACTTTACCCTCTAACACCCGCTGGTTATAATGTTCTTAAACTGTTGTATTGTCAGGGAAAGGTCACAGCTTAATCACACGAACCAGTGAAGGTTATCTCACACGCATGGCCAGGCACACACCTCTGTTATGGTGGTATTTAAGGGTGTTTGTCCATAAACAGCACTAGTAAAGGTCTAAGCACAGGTTAGCTCACATTGCATTGAATCTGTCAGCAAAAGACCTTCTTTAGCTTCTGAATGTTACAGAAATTAAACAGGACAGGAGGAGCTATTGATAACATGATTAGCTACAAACCACTCTGCTTCTGCAAGAGCATGCTGTAGCCTTTGTTTCTTCAACAAAAAATAAAAGAAAATGCACATTTTAACTTAAATAGGAAAATGTTCATCTTCCAATGTTGCTCTTTTGAATATCTTGTTCAGGTACGCAGGAATACACCATCACCTCCAAACACTTAACAGACATGGATTGTGTCACAGTTAAAGCAAGAGCTCGGGAGCAACATGACCTCACTAACTCCTACACACATGCCCTCTTTTAGCCAAGTCCTGGGAACACCACAGACTTCCATTCAGTGGATCTGAATATAACAGAATCCCATTTGAGGAAGAGTCCAGCACATAGTGAACCAAGGAATGGATGAGCAGCTGAATCAACACGTTGCTCCATACTTACTCTGTTGTATCAGCTCAGAGACGAGGGAAAAATATCTCCTGCTGGCTTTCTCCTCAGTGCGTGTGTGAGTGTGTGTGTGCTGAGGATGTTCGTCTTTGTGAAAACGTGTGTCTTTTGCAGATTAGAACTCACAGTAGTGTTTCCTACATGATCAAGTCAGAATAATAATAAAACACTGTATTGATCTATGAAAATTTTTCGTCCAGTGTGAAAAAAGTAATCTAACCTAAAGAAATACTGCTGTGATCCTCTTGGCAAAAACAGCTGCCATCAAACATTGTGTCTAACATCTCTTTTTAAAGAAGATTCCTCACTAAGCAACAATGGAGGATTTTTCAATCATAAACATTCTGCTTTGTATCATGGAATGGAAGCATCTCAGTCAGATTTGTATCCAGGGCTAATATTGGCCACTTCTTTTTTCAATCATTCAGTTAAAGACTTCATGCACTGGAAAAAATCTAAATCTATATAGGTCATTTTTTTCTCAAAATGAGGGAGTTTGTTTTTGAATTGAGGAGATAAAATAGACATTTTGCCAATAGAGCAATACAATTTAGATTTTAAATAAGAAAACAGACCTGCATTGTCCTATTTCCATTGCATATTTATTTTCTTATTCTTATATCTTATTTTAACAGTAAAAATACTCATTCCATTGGCAATTTTTCATAATTTACCTATTCAAATCAAGGGTAAAAACATTTAATTGAAGACATTTTTGCTTATTTCTAGATCGTTTTTCCAGTGTGGTGTGATTAGGATCACTGTACTGTTACATAACCTAAGACAGCTTGAGCGAAAGATCACACTTGGTGATGTTTTTTCTTTTAAGAGCATAATATATTTTTATCTTATTTTAAGGGCAAAAATATTTATTCCACTGACAAATCATCTTTTTTATCTGTTCCAATTAAGGGCAAATACAGCTAGTTCCTGAAATGTTTCAAATATTAAAACATATTGTTCAAGTCCCAAGGAGGAAGAGCTGCCTCAGGCCTTCACAACATAACCACCATGAAAAACCTGTTTTTGGTAAATGTGAGTCATGCCTGGAATCAAGAAGCTTAAAGGAATAGTACACCCAAAACATGATTAGCCTTCATTTTCTACTCACCTCCATGCTGAACAACACTCTGGAGTACTTTTTTGATATCTCAAATGCATCTGGAGATCTGGGAGACTTCTTGCTGTCTGCTGACATTCAAATAATGGAGGTCTATGGCGCCCGAGACAGAAAGGTCCACAAAAGTCCACAAAAACTTGTCAATATTCCTCCATACTGCTCGTCCAATGTAATCCAAGTGTCCTGAGTGGGTAGCATCCAGAATTTACTCGAAACGAAGTCATTTAGAACGTTTTAGAGCCTAAACAGTAGTGTATAGGATTTCCTAATAGCGCCCCCATGCGCGCTCACGATTCTACGGAAGCCGGCAGACCAAACCAGCGCATTCAGCTCGGCAAAGAACTCATGCTCTTCCTCAACACTGAAGTCCTCAGACATTTTTCTTTCGTTGTTTCTTTCTTTGCACAGGTAAACAGCACATTTCTTCTTCTACGCTTGCATTATCGGCAGACCAGACGCTGAATGCGCACTTCCTTCCGGTTTGGTCTGCCGGCTTCCGTAGAATCGTGAGCGCGCATGGGGGCGCTATTAGGAAATCCTATACACTACTGTTTATGCTCTAAAAACATTCTAAATGACTTCGTTTCGAGTAAATTCTGGATGCTACCCACTCAGGACACTTGGATTACATTGGACGAGCAGTATGGAGGAATATTGACACGTTTTTGTGGACTTTTATGGACCTTTCTGTCTCGGGCGCCATGGACCTCCATTATTTGAATGTCAGCAGACAGCAAGAAGCCTCCCAGATCTCCAGATGCATTTGAGATATCAAAAAAGTACTCCAGAGTGTTGTTCAGCATGGAGGTGAGTAGAAAATGAAGGCTAATCATGTTTTGGGTGTACTATTCCTTTAAGGCAGTTTATTGCAGACTGAATTCAGAAAGTCTGTTTCCCATCTGGGTGGTGTGCTGTCTAAAGACTTCTTTATGTGTTGCAGAAGTAAGGCATGCATGTGGCTGGTAAAGTGGAACTAAAAACTAATGGTTAATCACAGTTGTTTCATAACTGTTTCATAAACAGCAATTTTAAGGAAGTCTGCTCTTATAGCTGAGAAAAAGCGGCAAATGTGAGCTGCTGCTTTTCAAGCTCTGTCAGCAGATTTACTATTCCCCTTTTAAAGCTGCAGTCTGTAACATTGAGAAGAGAGCAGACTTCGACTGAAAATTTGAAGAAAAACAGGTTTCACGCCACTCCCCCACCCTCTCTGCTTCACTCATGCCCCACCTCCAAGCTCCACCCCTCTCACAGCATCTGCGCGGCTACCGCATGCGACCAGAAGGGGGGGGTGGGGGGGGGGGCGGGCGGGGGGGGCGGGATTCAGCGTGTGTGAGCTGTGATTGACACTCCATCAGACGCTCCTCTGGCTGTGATTGGTTGTTTTGACTCGTCCCGAATTATTCTGTCCAGATTGAAATACAGGCAGTAGGCGGGACCAATTGAAGCAGTTTTTTTTCACAGGTTACATATCACATGTACTGCTGTCTGGGCATAGGGACAGTTTTAGCCAATATGACAAAAAAGTGATTTTTAAAAACTTACAGACTTCAGCTTTAACTGTTGCATTGTTACAGAAATAAAGTTTGATAAAACATACATGACAACACCACTAGGGGGCAACAAACACATGAGGAAATTTTCTCTCGCCTGTCCCCTTTACAATTACTGTACAATCTGCAACAGATGCAGCTTTTCATTTAACTGTGAAAAACGCAATATAGTTAAATTACAGTAGCAGCCATTCAAAATGGCCTTTACCAGTCAAACACCAGCTGAATGGCAGCCGACTTCCCTCCAACTCCCAGCAAAATTCCCTCCAATCTCCAGCCACTGGAGTGACCCCCCTCTTGCATATTTTTTTAAACTCTGATTCCAGCCTTTCACTGAATTACAGGGTCTGACCAGGAGATAATGCTTCTTTATAGAGCTTAATGCCCACAAATCATGACAGAAAGAATATTTTAGTACAAATATTGATGTTTAAAAAGGAATTGTAGGGGACCAGGCAAGGAGCAGCCAAGGGCCCATCAAGGAAAGTGGGGAAATTCTGAATGGCTACTACTGTGGAAGACTAAACTCATTAAACTATTAGTTCTGTGGTGATGTACTTTTCTGATGTTTCATTGTACTGCAACAGCCCACAATTTAGGGAAGAAAACATGCTATAAGACATCAGTTTTATATTAGGCAGCTTTATTTGTGTTACATGGACCTGTCTATTCACTGAAACTGAGTCACAGTCAGCTACACAGGATATACAAATATAAACAAGAAGAGTATTTTAATGCACTGAATCATATGAAATATTAGAAATTAAAGAGGTAAGTAGGATCCATATAAAATAGGTAAAGAAAACTGTTAACAATAAATAGACATTTGAGTTAAACAGCTGTGACTAAAGTGGATCAGAGATCATCTTCCCATATTAAAGATATTAATGTGTCCACACCTAAGACACTAAACACGGGGCTCCCTATATGTCCAACAATGTGTGATTGTACAAGAAGGAATATTGTACGTGTAAGTATACCAAAGAGTGTTTATGTAGATGTTAAGAATCATTTGAATATTTAGATAATGTTTGACTGTGGTAATTAGTTGATTCTCATTTATGTAACATTGGGTAAAAAGTGGGCCAGAGCTGCTTTATCTTGTAGTCTATCAGGGTTGACTTCAGTTCTGCACGTTTCAAGCAAACATGATCACATCCAACTCATCTTTACTTGCGTTGATGTAACTTTATTCAAATTAACTGAAACTGATACTAAAAACTGAGAAGAAGAGAAAATAGCTTCAGCTTCCTTTGGAATCAGACCAAACTGATGCTTCATGAAGCATAAACCAGAAAGAAAATATAGTAACACCTCGTTAGTTTAGAAAAGCCACATGTGCTGTTTGCAGTTTGACAGTTTTTAATTCACATTCTGTTGATGGGAAAATAGCTTCATAAAAATGCTGCCCTCATGTGGGGTAATTGGGGTACTGCATTTAAGGTGCACAACACACAACAGTAGCATTTTTTTTAGTAAATATGTCCATCATCCAATGATTAAATGTAGAAGATGGAAAGCAGCTCTCAGAGGAAAGTAAAAATAATTTGTAGAAAACGGTTACCATGAGCATCACCTCAGTTAAACTGGATTTAGAAGCACACATTTACAGATGAAGGCAGTTTATCTAAACTGCATTTCTCTTTTTTTCTTCATTCTTTTACAATCGCATCCAGGTCGTCTTCAGTTTCACCTTCACCTAAAAACAAAGATTTTGCATCTTACATTATTTCTTAAGACTTTGCCAACACAGTTTGCTTTTAATATTTTCTACACAATCAATAGGGTGTTGCTTACTAAGACAGTTTTGATGGATGAAAGAATTCGGCAGCAGGAGAAAAATGAGGCCGAAAACCAGAAGGGCCCCAAAGAATCCTCCAATCAAACACCCGATGAGGACAGCGTTGCTGGCACCATTATCTACAGGCGGAAGTGGGGAAAATCAAAAACAGCATTTTTTCAGCTATGACCAGATAGGAAGATAACATTTGAAGGATTCATCATTTCACCATAGATATGCAGGACAGCAGTGCATTGATCTGAAGCCTTTGAATGATGACAAACGACTCGTGCATTGTTGTCAGAGTAGGAGGTTCCTTTGAGGGTCCAAATAGCCACCAGTTCACCATTCTTTACTTCACAGCTTCCATACAGAGCCTGAGGTTAGAGTCAGACAAGAAAAAGCAAACATTTCATCTCATAATCGTATATTTTATATCTTAGTCATTGAAAGTTGGGTTAAATACAAAGTGCTGGAAACATTCAATACAATTTAAGGTGGCAGAACCTGTAAAACTATTTTGAATCAACACAATAAAGAAAGTAGGTTTATTGTAAGAGGTAAATTAATAACTGCAGTGTCGGACAGTGCCCAGCTCACCTCGGGAATGTCCTCCACCTTGCCACCAGGGCAGGTGAGAGTGTAGTTTCCATGACTGCAGTAGAAAGTGAACGTAAGGTTCTTATATGATTCAGACACTCCACACCTAAACTCTGCAGGCTCGCCCACAGCCACTTTAACGTCAACTGGAAGAGTCCGATAGCCAGAGGGCTTCGGTTTTGGAGCTGATGGGGTGGTAGTGTTAGCCGGAGATGTTGTGGCGTTTTGAGCTGAAGAAGATGAACATTTAAAAACAAAATAAGTAAAGAGAAAAATCAAACGAAAGGGTGCATTTTTCACCCACAATCAAATAATTATAGATGCACTTGGCAGATGTACATTTAAAACAGCGGCGAAGCAGATAAATTCCATAAGGTTGGCCAGGGAGGGACCAATGTGCACTGCTCGGGGGCCAGAAACTGACACAAAAACCAGTTCAGGGTCAATCTGCACTAATAGTACTGCATCAATGGGGAAAAAGAAAACAGTATAATGTTTGTATTTTTTCCAATAAATCCCAGAAGTCAGACCAGATTTTCGTGAAGTCCTTGCTAATAAATTTGCGCTCTCATTTATATATGAGGTCTAGATTATTAATGGTTCTGCAGAATATTCACATTAAGCTGGTTTAGCAGTTAATCTTTATTTAAACAGAGTACTAGATGACTGCAGAGACACATGACTGTCACTTCTCTTGCCTAATATGAAAACAAAAAAGAAAATAAGTTCTGTTTGAAATCTTTACT